CCAACTTTCGATCCTCCTGCTTCAGCATCCTGAATCACTGGGATTACAGGAAGGTGCCAAGATACCTGGCTTAATGACTTATTCTTTTTATATCGTTTGTTATCTTCTAGGTGAGCCTTCTGCATGAAGTTTCCTGAATGTATGTGCTTTCTCACATTTCTGTCCTTTTGCACATGCTGTTCCTTCTGTAGAATTCCCCCCACCTTTCCCAGAGCTCTGGCCTGTTAGAATTCCATTCATCTTCTAAATCTCAGCTCCCAGACTAAGTCCTCTGCTGAGCCTCCCATGACTTGGTCCCCAGCCCTCTGCTTCCACATTGTATGTATTATACACCTCCATTTTAGTAATCATGTTATATTCTAATGGTTTGTTTTTTGTGTGTCTCTATTAGACTAAGCCCCTCAAGGCAGAGAACAATATTTGGTTGGTCTTTATGTTTAGTATTTATGATGGAGACATGCACAAAACAGATTCTCAGAAATTGCTTGTTACACATTTGCAAGCTATGTTAGTTGACAAAATAATGCCTTCTGTATCTAGAAACAGCAGAAAAATACACAGAAACAAATCCCATGCCCATTAGGCATAGGCAAAGCTTCAGGTTTCCCATTAAAATCTAATTACATTTATTATACACCAGTCCTGACATTGTTTGTGGTTTTTCCTGTGCAGATTAGAAAAAATGAGACATTTCTGAATAGAGGCCTATTGACAACGGCAGAAAAATGGTGCCTGAGGACCTGTCGGTAAACAAGTAGAGGGGACCTGACCCAGTAAACATGGGCACTTTCCTGTTGTGGCTGCAGTGGGTTTCCCTGGAAATGTCCTGCTTCCCACAGTTCTCTCCTTGAATTTTTTTCTTTTTGGGGTTGGTGATGGAACCCAGGGCTTTCTGTATGCCGAGTACACATTTTACTACTGAGCTATAACTCCAGCCTCTCCTTCAATTCTTAGCCTGGAGACTCAGATTTTAAAAAATGAAGAAACACACCCTCAATATTTTATTATTTCCCTCCTAGTTGAAGGGGTGGGGTCAGACTCTGAGCCCCTAGGGATAAAAGATGAAAAAGATGACTTTCTCTCTGGGTTCCTTCTTTCTCCATTCCTTGGCTTCAAACTTGCAATCCTCCTGCCTCAACCTCCAGGTCTCTGGGATTATAGGTGTGTGCCAGCACACCTGGCCCTTATCAGTAATTTTGGACATGTAATTCATCCTCCCATCATCAAGCAACAGTCTTGACTTGGATTTGAAGTTCTGAGGAAGCAAACCGTACAGTGTATCATGAAATTGTGCCTCTTCACACAATAGTTCTCAGACTTAAACAAGAGTCAGAATCACCTGAGAGCTTATTAAATCAGATTGTGAACTCCACCCCAGTTTATGATTTAGTAGGTCTAAGGTAAGTACTGGATGATTGAAAATTTTTAAAGTTCTTAAGTGATGCAGATCCTGATGGTCTGGCCTTAGAAATCATTAATCTAAACAGTCAAGCAAGACCACGGTGTAAAACCCCAAACAGGAAAATACAGAAAATTTCATCCTCAATCAGGCATGTCTTGCTTCATTTACTCAGGTGCTTGCATTTTTTTCCCCAATGACTTTGTGACTTGATAATTTCCATTTGTGGAACAAGTTGAACTAGATATTTACCATCAGATATTTACTCAGACCAAATAAACATTGTTATATACTATGTACAAGAAGTAGATATATGGGCATTCTCACTTTCTTGCAAGGGCCATTCTCTACACTGGTTGTCCCATGAATTTGGATCAGCACATGGATATATATATATGGTTATTTCACACTGAAATCACTTGAAGAACAGTAACTTCAGAAAGGGCCATTAGGCCTGTCTTTCCCTACATGCAGCTAGCATACAGATTGTTTGGGTGATGGGCTGGGAAATAGCTCAGTGATAAAGTGCTTGCCTAGCCTGCATGAGGCTCTGCGTTTGATCCCCTGCATCACAGAAATTAAATAAATAAATAGATAGATAGATAGATAGATAGATAGATAGATAGATTTTTTTGGAAAGGCTGTCTTTCACATACCAAGGCTGAAAAATAGTCTTGGTCACCAAAGACTGGTGCTTGGGTTTCAGTAAACCTGAATAAACAAACTCTTTGAGTAGCCCTTCTTCCATTAGATTCTACATCCTCTCACCCCCATAATAACCCTAGAATTTACTTCTCTCATCCAGAAATATATCCGTCTTATCATTCCTTCACAAAGTTATTGTTCTTTGTTTAAAAAGTATAGATGCATCATGCTTTGGTCATTTCTTCAAACATCACTCTCTTGTGAAGATTCCCCATGTACATGGAAATACACACACACACACACACACACATACACACACACACACATATCAATCATTATCCATTGCATCTAGTTTATGCTAGAGGCCTCATGCCTGTCCACACTGTATCCTCTGTGACTGAAGTTTGACTCTAAGTATCCAAACCAAAGACCTATTAAGTCTCAAGTCTCAAGTGTTCAATTCTTCAAATATTTTAATAGCACGATGCATTAAAATAGGTTGGAAATCTGCAACTTATATATCCTTTATTATCAGAAAAATTACAAGTATTCCTATAAATGAGATGCTGGGACAACGTATTCTCTTTTACACACATACAAGCTATCCTATAAATAGGACACTGGGCACACATTACATAATGTACAAAAAGTGATTTTCTTTTTTTTCTAACTTAAATTGTTTTCCTTTTTATTGGGCACATTCTGATTATACATAACAGTGGGATTTGTTATAGTATATTCATATGTGCACACAATAAAGCAGTATAATTTGATCAATTTAAATCCCCCCAGTACCTCCCCTTTCTCTCTCCTCTCTCCTCTTAATCTCCTTCTTTCCTATTGGTCTTCCTTCTATTTTTTTTTAAAAATTTGTTCTAGTCAGTTGTATATGACAATAGAATGCATTTGGACATATTGAAAAGTGACTTTTTTGACCCGTTCAACAATTATTTTTGGTGAGAAGGAGCAAAACCTTCAAATAAAAGGTTACATTAGATTTTAGACAGTATGTTGTCATGTCATGATAGCAATTTTCCCATGATATGGCTTGATTTTACATTATCATCATTGTTTAAGAATATGGCCTCTTATCTGAGGCAGATAATATTAGCCTAGGCAACTTAGCGAGACCCTGTCTCACAAAAAGGAGCTAGGGAGTGTGGGTTGGTGGTAGAGCACCCCTTGGTTCAATCCCTAGTACTGAAAACAAAATTTTATAGTATCTGGGACAGCTGACAGTCTGGGAGTACTAAGTGTTCTTCCTCCCGATGGGTCCTTACTGCATTGTTTTCGGAATGCTAAACAAATGTCTCTTTCCAGCAAATTTATGAGATTTTTGTTTTTGTTCACAAGTCTGTGAATAATCCATGCATTTATGATACACATAACAATTATGAACAAAGACCAATACCAAATTTTACTCTAATGGAAGTGGGATATTTGAAAACCAAAGTATTTTGTTTCTCTACACCACCGAGTTGTTTTAGGTACCCATTATTTTTGGTTGAGACACATTGACCTTACTCTTTTTTCTATTGTTGAACTTTGCCAAGTGATTCCACTGTCTCATCATTCATTCCAACACATTTACTATTTAACCATTTTACAATGAGAATTTCATTATTTGTATCAAACCTGCAATCATAGGAATCTCGTTTGCTTTTACATCCATGTTGTCAGTTTCAGAGGACATTTTTTTAGTCCATTTTTTCCTCATTATACCTATAGCTTTGAATCCAATATTTCAAAGGTTTACTGACAAGTAAATTATAACCGTGAATAGACTGTTGAAGAAAGCAGTGTGAGATTGTGAATTCTCTACCACTTCAAGCATTGCTGCCCAGCTAAAGATCATTGTTGGATCCTTCTTGAGTACTTTCTCCACAAAACAAGTTAGAGTCATAGCAATATCTCAATACTCTGCACATTGCCCAGAATTTATAACCAAATTTTATGACTTTCCTGCTTATAAATTGTTTCAGTGGATTGTGGCTATAATAGCTGATAATCAAAATCACTTCATATATTGTCACACATTCTTCAAATATGCCAAATTCATGTCTGACTTTTGAATCATATTTATTAGACAATGACTTTTAAAAACTTTATCTTCAATAATCTCTCTCTCTCTCTTTTTTAGTACTGGGGATTGAATCCAGGAGCGCTTTACCACTGAGCTAAGTCCCCAGCCCTTTTTTATTTTTTATTTTGAGATAAGATTTCTCTAGGTTGCTTAGGGCCTTGCTAAATTGTTGAGACTGGCCTCGAGTTGCCAGGATTACAGGCATGTGCCACTGTGCCATGCTTCAATGGCCTCTTGGTATTCATTATCGCTATAAAAATGTATGATATTTTTAGCTCCTGAAAATTATTTCTGGACATTGCATTTTTGATGACATATCCAAATCTTCATCATTTGACTTTTAGTTTCTTATGGAAGGTAGTTTATGATAACCTGGAAATGTAAGAATTCCAAAAAAATGTTTTTAACTCATCTACACTGAGTACTCAGATGTATTCTTACTTTCTTCAGAAAAAACATAGTTTCTTTTACAATATGATATATGTTTCAGGTGTCAATATTTCTTTAAAAATCTCTACTGGGCTGGGGTTGTGACTCAGAGGTAGAGCGCTCGCCTTCCATGCGTGAGGCACTGGGTTCGATCCTCAGCACCACATAAATATAAAATAAAAAGATATTGTGTCCACCTATAACATATATATATATATCTCCACTGGATTTGAATATAGCAGGTAATGCCCATTTTTCTCAAGCCCTCAGCAAAAATGTTTTCTTGAATATCTCTAGAGTATTTTGGAGTTGTTGCTCTTCAAATAGTTATGGAATCATAAACTTCTAGCTTCTTATCTGGTGATGTCTGCCTTGTTTTCTGCCCCCCACCCCGCCCCTGAGAATAGATAGGAATATCAGTAGTGAAAACATCAACATCTTCCCTCTCATTCATACTTTCTATTTCTGCATTTTGGTTAGATGTTTCAGTATGTAATTCCAGAGGACCTGAAACATCTTTCACTATTGAGTCATTGGATTTGTCGTCGGTTTTACCATTATCCGTTATATTTTTTATGTCTGGTGGGATAATTATGCCAGCTGCTTCAATATTCTTGTCTTCAGAACATTCATCCAACAGACTCTCAATTTCTTCTGGGATTAGTGCTTGAATATGTTTTCTTGACATCTGCAGCAAGATGAAGTTAAAAAAAAATCTAATGAGCCACAAAATATTCATTCAAATCATATCACATTTTTCTGTGTATTTCTAGAATACAAATAAATACTATATATTATGGTCATAATTATTTATATGACACTTTATTACAATCTTCAAAGAATCTGTTCCACAATCTCATCTGCTTTTGATGAGTGCACAATAATGAGTACAAGAACTCTTTAGAAAAAACACGAAAACACAGGTTACAACTTGTCAACAAATAGCAACATATTGGAGTTTAGCAGGAAGCAGTGCAGTACATTCCACATAAGGAAGAAAAAGAAAATGGAACATGAGTAGACAAGTAGAAATATCCATCTATGCATCCATTGTACTTTTGGTTACAGCACAGCACACAAAATATTGTTTACTTATATATCTGGCTTGAGACTATTTCTCAAAGTCAGTGTACTAGCCAGGGCCTCAGCAGAAAAATAATGGCATACAAGGGGTGTTTCAAGGGAATGAAAGAAGGAAATTTTACAAAGCGAATGCCAAGCAGCAGAAGTTGTGGCTCTGGATAGAGATTTGGCCTTAGCCCATCTGCAGCCTGTTACACAGGCTTATGGAGAATAAATACCATGACCTCCTCTTTCATTTCTGGCAGTGCCTTCCATTGGGCAAGTCCAACATGAAACTAGAGGGAAAACAAAGCCATGTTTACTTGGCCGTTAGAGATTAGTCTCTTAAATCTCAAGGCAGGGTTGAGGCGGGCAAAGATTAATTTTGATGTACAGAAAATAATGAGGGCAGGTGTCATTTCTGCTGCCCACAATATTCAGGGAGTACACTGCACATTACTATACAATATAAATTGTCCCATTTGTAGGACATCTATTTTCCACCATTGATAATTGGAAATTACAGTGCTTCCTCAAAATAAAATGACAACCTAGTCCTAGATTATACTTTCATGGATGCACTTCTTAAATATTACACATAAGTTATATAATATTTTGTTCAGTTGAACATTTAGAAGTAATTTTTGCAGCCAAGTTTATGCCATTTTCACAATGAATTTAAAAATATTTTCAATTGGGCTGGGGATGTGGCTCAAGCGGTAGCGCGCTCGCCCGGTTCGATCCTCAGCACCACATACCAACAAAGATGTTGTGTCCGCTGAGAACTAAAAAATAAAATATTAAAAATTCTCTCTCTCTCTCTCTCTCTCTCCTCTCTCACTCTCTCTTTAAAAAAATATTTTCAATTGCTCTAATCATTCATCTATTACTTTTCTCAAAAGAATAGGCCTCTAAAAATAAAATTGTCATTTTTATAGTTACTATTAAGTGGTATATTTGTTGCTCAATTTAAGTTTTTATAGGTGTCAGACATCTGCGAGGATGGGACAAAATGGATCAAAGTCTAACGCTGGAGCCTTAGAGATCAAGGATAGGAACAAAATGGAAATTGCAGACGTTCTCCACTGGGGAATGGGCAGCCCAGGCTGCGTGGGACGATCGTTAAGCCTTCCTGAAGCCTGGAAGGTCTTCCTGTCCCAGCGACTGTAGCAAGTCGCTAGGGTTTCAGGGAGACCAAGGGCAATTCTTAGGCGATAGCACTGCAGTCTCACGCAGGACCAAGCCAAATCGGTGCAAACTCCCTTAGAGTTCAAAGGGGTCTGGGTCATCCTGTGTTTCTCATTTTAATTTTTGCCAGGGAGGACTTTGGCGTTCTTTTGCAAAACACAGGGGCGCCTGTGAGTCTGAGCCAGGATGCGCAAGGGACGGACAACTAAGTCCTTGACCACCAGAGGTGAGCACTGGAGCCGGCAGGTGTCTGCAGGAAGTAGGTCGCTGCCTTTGCTCACCCCTCCTAGGCCCCTCCTTCCACGTGGACCCCGCCCCTAGTGGGCGTGACTGTCGAGCGCCCGAGGGCTCCTCCCCAGAGGGCGGAGCCGGGGGAGGGGTCTGTGAGAGGGTCTGGTCCAGCGGGCGGAGCCGAGCGCCTGGAGGCCGGCGGGGGAGGCGCCACATCCGGAGGTGCTGGGTACTGCATAAAGCCGCGGCCGCGGCAGTTTGCCTCCGACAGCAGATCTGGGCTATTCTCGGCTACAGGAGCAGCTGCTCCAATGCCCCAGAGCGGCCATGGGCGCCCCGCACTGGTGGGACCAGCTGCGGGCTGGTAGCTCGGAGGTGGACTGGTGCGAGGACAACTACACCATCGTGCCTGCCATCGCCGAGTTCTACAATACGGTGCGGGTCGCGGGAGAGGGGATGGCAGGAGGGCCGGCGGGAGGGGGCTGTCCCCATGCGCCGCAGCGTCTGGAAGCTGGACGTTCGCTGTGTGTATAGGAGCCATTCTCGTTCCAGGGCCAGAGTTGATCCACGCCCCCTCCTTTGAGCGCTCCTTCCAGTTCTTGGTCTGTACTCCTCTTCTGTCCCTAATCTCGACATCTGGGATCCTCCTCCTCCTCCTCCTCCTTCTGTCATTTCCTTCTGATGGCTCTATTGTCTTGTTTGGTCTCCATACGTCCCGGAGCCTGGAGTCCTTGTCCGTCCATTCTCCCAGTTTGGGTCAGTTGGGGGCGGTGAATCCCCTGGGAAACTCCCTTCCTCCCCTAGGATCTCTGTGGCGTGACGCACTTGGGTCGCATTGTGCGTTTTTGCCCTGAATACCTGCTTTCGGAGCACTGGGAAAGGGGAAGTCCCCGGCAGGTCTTAGGGGCTGGACTCTCCCACCACGCTGAGTTGTCCCGCCCCCAAGAATATGGCAATCATGGTCGACTTTATTTTTGTCCAGAATCAGGTTAATTACTACAAGTTCTTTTTTCTTCCCTTTAATATTCCTACTCTTGTGCCAGCTCCAAATTCATCTCCCTCAGGCCTGTGCTTTTTCCGGTTCTTAAGTCTAGGTGTCAAAGAGAAGTTTGGAAATGATAGCATGCGGATTTTCTGGACTTGCCTGGGTCCCTAGATAGGGGCAAACAGAAACTTCTCCAATGCAGAATCCCGGGATTTCAGTCGTTGTGGGAGTGAAAAGTTGTCTCTGGAAGAGGAAATGCCTCTGTTTTTCTCTGTCTCTGTAACTCATGATTCTGGTACCAAATGTAGGACTTTGCTCGGTCATTTCTGTGGCTTATCTTTTCACTGCCCCAACACAAAAAAACAGGAACTGTGGATTTGAGTCATTGTGAATTTGAGGTTGTTATTTAGGATTTTTCCCCTTGGATTTGCCATAGAAAATGTCCTTGGCAGGAGTCAGGTGCTTATTGCCTGGACAATTCTCTAGTCCCTGTCTTTTTATTCCTAAGACCAGAAAAACAGGCTCTTGAGAGAGCTGTCATCCCCACATTGTGGTATGTCTAGGGTCACAATCCAGAAGTCTTGACTCTCCCTTCAGTACTGAAATTCATGGCAGCCTTCCACACCAGCACTCTTCCTCCTCCTCCTCCTCCTCCTCCTCCTCTTCTTCCTCTTCCTCCATCTCCTCCATCTTCTCCTCCTCCTCCTCCATCTCCTCCATCTTCTCCATTTCCTCCATCTCCTCCATCTTCTCCTCCTCCTCCTCCATCTCCTCCATCTCCTCCATCTTCTCCATTTCCTCCATCTCCTCCATCTTCTCCTCCTCCTCCTCCTCCTCCTCCATCTCCTTCATCTCTTCCTCCTCCACCACCAACTCTTCCTCCTTCCAGTTCTTTGGATTGAACCCAGGGTCACTCTACCATTGAGCAAAAAGTTCTTTTGAGACAAGGTCTGCCTAAGTTGTCCAGACTGGCCTGAAACTTGCAGTTGTCCTGCCTTAGCCTCCCAAGTAGCTGGTATTACAGGCATGCATGGTACCCAGCCCCCTTCTATTTATATGACCAGGTGAGTTGCTCAAGGAAACTAGGCCCTCTGTTGTTCAGAGATACCATGAAAAAATGCAGTTAGTGGAAGAAGCCACATTATCCCTATTATAAAACCGGGTGGAGCATGCTATCAGGTATATACAGGTGCTCACAGAGGATGGGCTGGAGTAGGTCTGGACATTTTCAACAAGAAAAAACACCAGTAGTAACTGATATCTCCAATTTTAAGTGAAAAATACTGGGAAATACTAAGGATTTCACCAGGATTAAGGAAGAAATGACAGATGGATAATAGGTTTTTACACATCCTGCATGGTAATTATCTGTGGAGTCTGAGGTCTTCAGAGAGTGTCAAGCCTGGTTATTTAGGCCAAAAAAAGTTAATGCATAAGTGTGCTGAGCCCATCTTGAACAACCCAGCCCAAGACTACTGGATGAGAGGACATCTTGTCTTTACTTTTAACCTACTCCTGTTAGAGCTGTTATCACATAGTGAGTGTCAAAAGCTTTTCTTTTCTTTTTTTTTTTAAATATTTTTTTTTAGTTGTCAATGGACCTTTATTTTATTTATTGAAACATGGTGCTGAGAATCGAACCCAGTGCCTCACACATGCTAGGCAAGCACTCTGCCACTGAGCCACAACCCCAGCCCTTGAAGGCTTTTTTTAAAGAAATGAACCATTTGATGTTCAAATACAGTGTATGTGGCTGATTAGGCCAGCAGATACATACGATAGACCTACTATTTATTTTATTTTATTTTTGGTACTGGGGAACTTAACCACTGAGACAAATCTCTAGCCCTTTTTATTTTTTATTTTGAGACAGGGTCTCACGAAGTTGCTTAGGGTCTTGCTAAGTTGCTGAGGCTGGCTTTGAACTTGCAGTCCTCCTGCCTCAGCTTCCTGAGTCATTGAGATTGCAGGCAAGTACCACTACACCTGGCAACCTTATTTTTTAGAATATTTATAAACCACAAAATTTGCTCTGGCAATGTGGAGAATATTCTATTCTCAGAGAAGAAATTGATCACCTGACTATTGAATGTAGATTTGAAGAATTTAGCAAAAACTCTCTTCCTCTGTGCTCCCAGGGCTCTACTTATCTTCTGATGCTATCACAGGACACACCTGAGCTTATCTTACTCTTATATTGTGATAAACATTTTGTTTGATAAATAACTTGTTGATAAACATCTCCTTTAATTCTAATAATAAGAAAACAGGTCTAATTATTTATTTTATAAGAAATTAATCATTACCAATTTTGAGAAAAAGTTAAAGGAATTGATATCAAATCAGGAGAAGACTGGGAAAGGGATTTAGAACCTTTTTAATAGGTCTTAAGGGTATCATGACACTCGTACAAGTTCAGTTACTACTGGCTACTGTGAGTTATTTGTCATGTGTTGAAGCTCTGCTATGTACTCTATACTCACTCTAGGCAGTGGGTGCTACTTTTTATATGCACTTGATAGAGGAGGGCATTAGGGCATACACAACTTATGTAGGTTGATGGAGCCAAGAAAATGGAAGAGGTGGAGTTAGAACTTGGTCATATGGACTATCTACCTAGAGAGATCTCTTAAAGTATAAATGCCACTGTAAGTACCTTTTGTCATACTATAGATATTTATTATTCAGTTATTCTTTAACTTAAAACTCCTGTACTGGGACCATCTTTTCCATAGATAAAACTCATGATGTGAAAAAAAAATCGTTTAAAATAGTTTTTGGTATTGTTGTTTATTATAAAAGTAATAACACAATGCATGGTTAAAAAAAACAAAAACTGGAGTACAGAGCTCTAAAGTAAAAAATTCCCTTTCTCCTGTATCTTTCCAGACATTTCTTAGGCATGTAGAACTACAGGTATTTGTGTGTTTATGTAAAATATGTATGTATAGTGCATTCTCAAACATTCAAAACTTTTTTTTTTCAACCCAATCAAGATTACACAATCCAAAACCTTCTACATCTTGCTTATTGCACTAAATATGTCTTGGGGATGGTTGCATATCAACTCAGATAGAGATGCCTTCCTCTTACAATGTCTGTATATTTTCCCATTTAATGGATTGGCCATAACTCATTTAACCAGTCAACCCCATATCAATGAATATTTAGAGCAGTTTGTTTGTTTTATTGTTTTCATTTTGGTTTTTGAAGAGTCATGCAGTGAATATCCTCATATCTGCATCTGGATGCACTTTTCACTTTAAATACTGATTATTGTTGCTAAATGGCCCACTAAAGAGACTCCATTGATGTAACTTCCACAAACAGTATTTGACTATTGCCTTAGATCTTTTCATTATCCTTTGCTTCAGCCAAGAACGAATATCTCTTCCAAGAACACATCATTTCCGTTCATAGCATTTTACTTACTCACCTTTGAACTGTTTTTTTCCACATACAGATATTTTTTAATATTTAATTTTTAGTTGTAGGTGGACACAATATCTTTTTTTTTAAAGAGAGAGAGAGAGAGAGAGAGAGAATTTTTTTAATATTTATTTTTTAGTTCTCGGCAGACATAACATCTTTGTTTGTATGTGGTGCTGAGGATAGAACCCAGGCCGCACGCATGCCAGGCAAGCGCGCTACCGCTTGAGCCACATCTCCAGCCCCACAATATCTTTATTTCATTTTTATGTGCTGAGGATCGAACCCAGTGCCTCACATGTGCTAGGCGAGTGCTCTATCACTGAACCATAGCCCAGCCCTCCACATTTGAGTTTCTTTTTATGTTTTAAGCTTTAAGGCCCCACTCACATAGATGAACCACTTTGGAGAAAGGTGGAGTCTGTCTTTTAACCACTGGACTTGGCCTTTGGAGACTCTTTTGGGCAGAAACTCAGGCAACAGAAGGAAATTACTGGTGCTGAAAAAGTCTCACAGCATATAGGCTCATGCATAAAATCAGCCCATGATCTCTTACCTATCTCTCCAGTCCCCCAAAATCTTCAACAAAGTATATGCTTTCTTTACATGCCCAAGTCCATGACCCACTGTCTGTAGGGTAGAACCTATCTGCCTGTCTGTTTATCTAAGCATTTAGATACTATTTAGCATTTAGATGGGTACACTAATATGGGCCTGTCACAGAGACCAGATCTGGAAAATGTCATCTGGGTAGTGAGGGCCATAACATAACAGTGGTGTGTGCAGTTTGTTGAGGGTGGTG